AGAACTGAAAAATGCGGTATTTGAAAATGGCGCCCGAATTGCAGCATGGCGCCAGTTGTCCAAATTCCGACGGTACCAAAGGAGGGGTTTGGAAAAAAAGGGTGCCAGGACGAAATTGGGATGCAGCAGAAACAACAAAAAGATAGACCAGGGATCGAGCCCTGGCGGAGTCCGTAACAGATGTCCAAGTAGTCGTGTGCAAGCAGAGAGCGCAATTGAACCGAGCAATACAATGAAGTAATGAGCCAATGTTCGAGCCCACAGGCCACACCAACACAGTATCCAAAGTCGCTCCTCTCTGTCTGGTGCCCAGTGCCCAGCCTACTCTACTCGACTATCCTACCTACAGCTGTGTTCGTGCAACAGGCTCACTTCAACTCTCGAAGACCAATGTACCTGATGTGAACACCATAGCCGACCTCTCTTCATGCACCAGGTACGTATCTCGTCACCCTCATCACACCTCACAGCATCCAATGCAGCAGCGCAGCAGCGTGACTGCATCGCCTACGCGGGCCAGCATGCCTGGCCTGGGCTGCCTCACTTCCTATATGGAAGTGGCAGCCTCCTGGATGCTGCATGTGGCCTGGCTGGAAGCTTCCAGTAGCTTCCGGTTGGGCCTCAGTTCCTGCGCCCAGGCCCGAGACTACAGTTAAGGGCCTGGGCCCTTTACAGTTGGGAACAGCCTGAGTCTCCGGACTTGGGGCAGGGCCGTTTGTTGCATTTGTGCAGGACCCCGGGGTGAGTGCGTCGACAGTACTGCTTTTGCATAGGCCGGTGGCCACTTCACAATATATCGGCCCTGCTTTATGTGTACGTGCACGGGCGCAACTGCCAAGGCCTCGGCCAACTGCACTACGCAGCTTAGCGAGGCTCACGCGTCCACTTCAACCAACTGGCGGGCTGCAACAGCCTGAATACCCATATATGAAAATGTCGAATTTCGGCCTCTGCTGAATATTCAGGCCCGCCTTCACTTAGGATGGGCACTCGGCTTGCTGGGGGCCTCTGTATGCCTGATAGGGGCCCCGTGAGGGCTCATTCCGCGCACCACCAATATATGCTGAAGATTGGCATTCAGGTCGGCATGTCGGCAGTTATTGGTTAGGATGAAGATGCCTGTAGCTCGCTCGTTTTTTTCTGTTGTTTTCTTCTGAATACGTACAGATGCCTGTATTTCTTTCGTTTTTTTCTTTTGTTTTCTTCTGAATACGTAAAGTGGCCCAAGGGGCCTCTCGCCACTATTCACCAAATGCACAAAAGACATACCATATGACAGTGTATGGTTCCATGTTTTAGCAGAACATTCGTTCTAATGTTGTACATTTGGTGAGTACCACTGAGTGGTGGAGCTAGGCCCTGAGAATCACGTGGAGGCATGAATAGGGTCTAGCTGAATTGGTGACCCATAACTCCCGAGCTACGGACGTGAACTCGCACCCATATAATATATTGGTGGTCTGCTCCCACCTCTCCCATATGTGACGCCAGATATGCTTTGTCCTGGACCGGTAGGAATGGACAAGGGCTTGAGTAGGCGGCTTGGCCCGCTGACAGACTGGACAAGTCTGGACGTACTTTTTCTCGCTTCATCAAGCATACCAGGCCACCAGAAATGTTGTACCAAGTTAGCACTAGTTTTCTTGTAACCGAAGTGCCCAGTTGCATCATGATAATCTCCTAGAAACAAACCGAGCAAAATCTCCCTAGATGGAACAACTAATCTTTTGAACCCTGCCTTTTCAAGAAAGAGTAACCCATCCACCATCACAAGCTTGCATATGATGTCCATTGTGACGGGGTCTTCCTTGTAGGCTTCCACCATTGATCGAGTTACATCGTCAAATAGGTCAAACTCAGTTATTAGTGCACCCATAGGCCTCGCTCTACTACTCACTACTCCCAAATGTGCCAAATGAGAACGAATCTTCCGCTAGAACATGGAAAGATACGCCACCATATTTCTTGTCTTCTGTGCATGTGTTGAGTAGTGGAGCAACTGGGTATGCCCGCCCTCCAAAGGAAACCGAAATCTTTTCGTTTGTTTTAACTTTTTTTGCTTCTTTTTTTTGGCAGAAGGGCGTGACTGTGTCCTTTCAGTGCGCCCGTACCTACCCAGGATTGGATGCTTTGTACATTCCAGCAAAAGACGAACAACAACAAAAGGAAAGAAAACAACAATGACTGTGCCATTTTCGGAAAGAAAATAACTCCCCCCCAAAAAAGAAAAAAGAAAATAACGCCCACCAGAGGAGGCATCCGCAACATATCCAGGGTTCCAGGGACTTTCTGTACCCAGTTTCCCTCTGCCTGTCATTTGGCGGGTTTCATGTGCTCTGTTTTCTAACGTTTCTTTCAGTGGCCATACCAACGGGCCAGCCCAGTTGGTATGCCCACAAACTGTTGAAATACAGACCCAAGTTCGAATCAAGATACAATCAAATGACCCAAAATAAAATGAATTACCTGGGGCCGGTCAGTGTAAGCCACCAATACCTACCGGTTTTTAAGGCCATTGACCTAGCAGACCGGTAACTCGAACCTTGCCTAGCCTCGGGCTACCGGTAGGTCAAGTCAAAATTAAAAAAGAAGGGAAAAACAAAAAAAGGAAAAGTACATTCTTCTTTGAAAAAACATAAACTTGAGAAAAACAAAGGAGCTATATCGATCTCGCCTGCCGGGGTGGGCGGGGGGGGTTGGGAGAGAGAGAGAGAGAGAGAGAGAGAGAGAGAGAGAGAGAGAGAGAGAGAGAGAGAGAGAGAGAGAGAGGAGGGGGGGGAGAGAGGACGGGAAGGCAGGAGAGGTAGGGAGTAGACACGGGCTTGAGCAGGATGGTCCATCGTGACGAATTAAAAAGAAGAAAAAAAAAATTGGAAAATCCGCAAGCTTGTGCACGAACCAGAGAGAGAGAGAGTCCATCACCATC